AAGAAGAAGAAGACGTGGAATATACAAATTTGCATATTTTTCAGATAGCTGAAATTCTGTGGTTTATCCATTTTTATATCACACAAACATTAAAAACTATTTTAGTATTGCCATTTCCATAAAAACAATACATACAATTTTTCTTTAACTGCTGTGTGTAAATGTTTTCTGTTGGGGGCACCCAGCAGGGCATCTGGCTGGACAGTGGATGTACTGGACCCTGCCTGGAGGCTGGTTAAGTGCCATTTTCTTCCAGACCACAAACTCTCCCCAGATGTACCAGAGGAAACAAAAACAAGGATCATGCCCTTTCCTGCGTGCTCTTGCGAAGTGCTGATAACCTATCACGTGAACTTTTTGGCACAGAAAAGAAGCCAGTATCTCACATGGTTCAGATTGTGACCAGAACAAAAAAAAGAAAACACGATGTCAAAATCCAAGGCCGCAACCAATTACAAGTGCCTGGCTCAGGGAAGGCCCTTGCTAAATATTTGCTGAATGTTTGCTAAATGTTTACCTTTGATAAACACTTTAACTTTTATGTTTTATGGTAAACCTGTGGTAAGCCTTAATATTCTACTAGGCAAATATTTCTAAATATTTTATAATTAAGCACAGACATTTGTACACAACATCGGCAAAACTCTCAATAAATCACATGATAAATTATATCACAAGTTGTAGATCTATATATTTAAATCTATTTTACACCCTTCATCCTCTAAGAGGGTGATCCTCCCTACATAATTCTGCCCACTAGAACAGACTTAACTCATACAATGAAACATACAAAGCATCCCTTTGTAGTCAACATTTTCAAGCGATTCTCATAAGAATGAAGAGCAAGTTTCTGGTTAAATAAGTTTCCAAACTGCTATGCTCAAAACCCCTGGGAAGCAATTGCAGTCTTACTAGACATACTGATGTATCCAGACTACTAGGCTGAGACATGAACATCAACAGGTTTGTGGCACCACGTGCAAAATTCATCAAACCCCTTTTATCTTTGTCACATCCACAGAACAGGGTGCTTTTCCAAGACTTCTTGATTGGCAGCAGAAGGCATCCATAAAACTCTGGCCAAATTTGGATGTTGAGGGAAGTGGGTTGTGGCTGGAAGAAGAACTGGTTCTGGCTCAGCACCTGTGGCTCAAGCGGCTAAGG